AAACTGATACATTCGTAATCATAATGCATCAAATGTCTAAATTACATTGAGTAGGAAATAAAAATATAACAGGTTTTTCTTGACCTCTCTTATGTGACCTGACCGGACTAGGTCATACAAATGAAAAGTTGACGAAGATTTACTGTATTAGCCCTCTTTCAAGAGATTCATCTATTTGTTTACATCTATATTCGAAAATCTAGCAACAACAGCTAATGTATTAAAAGAAAAAAGAGAAACTTATATAATATCCCGAGATTAGTACACATCGAATTGAAGTGCGATAAATCAACCGCTGAAAGCTAAGCAGCAATGGACAGATTTTTCATACTAGCATAAAATTCCTTCAAGGTGCGCATTTATGATCCTACCATAAATCGATCTCTTGACCACCAGATCTCGTGAAGAGAGTTTAACTTCTAGACAAGTGATTCAGCATTTGATGGTTTGAATCTCTAACTTTATTCCTCGTCTGAATCCTCTTTAAACCAGTTCTTTTATTTTGTAAATGATCTTGAACGATGACTGTCATGATGGCATGCAACCAGAGTTGATCATTTGTTCAAAGGTCCAGTTGTCGATCGTATATGATTCGCTTTTAGACAGCCTTGTAGATTGATGCTCAAATATTTGTTACCGAGTGTACGCTTTGTCTGTTAATATAACGGGAAGAAAAGGCGTAATCACATTTTTAATTCATTCCTGTTCAATACTACTTCAGCTTTCAACTCTATATGATGATTATTCAGAGTAATATTTATCTTTGTTTTCCAATGTGGTATTTTATTCGGTATAACATTCATTTATTTGAGTGTGATGTTATTTTAGGATCCAATATTCTTGGATAAAATTAACGTAAACTATAATCAGGATGACATGCAGCAAGTTATTTATTTATTATTATTTGGACACATTATTATTGGTACAAAGGGGCACTGAATACTTATGCGCCACACAACTCGCTTTATTTGTGTGTGGGCTGTGATACTGCCCGTATGCCCAAAACGAAGCAGATGGTTTTCTTAAGGGGTTACATCCGCAGCCTTCGACCTCCAGGTCTGATCCAAAATGCAGTGGAGCATCGTAATGAGATGCATTCCCATGGTAGTCGGTAATCAATAATTGGTTCATGCGCCATTTGTCCCCTCAGGGTACTGGAGCCCATGTGTACTAATGGTTTGGAATCAGGGTTTTCCGATTCCCTTAGGTGGACTTGCCGTGTCCACCGGCCCAGTTAAAGCTCCAGACATTCGCTTTTCGTCCTCTCAGTTTTGTAAACAACATCCCCACCATGTGATCTTGTTATAACTCTGGACATCATTCATATATATGATTTCATCCCTATTATTAATCAAAATGAATGTCCAGTCAATATATATTGAGTGTATTTTCGACTAGGGTCGTTGTCATGTATTGGGTTTCAATAAATCTTTACTTATACTAGTCTTGGTTTTATATTTCCCATCATGAGAATTGCAATGGTTCCTCGTTTGACGAGTATAACTATTAAACGATTCCAGCGTAACAATTAGAGGCTCAGTCATAACAATTGACAACTAGTCATAATAGAGAATATTTAAAATTATGGGGAACTTAAAGTTTTGTGGAGATTTCAACATTTTAATGGTTGAAAGCATGAGTCATTTGAAGCTAGACCACCAAGGAAAATCTGAAAGCACTGGACAGCCGTTTCGTCCTGTTGTGGGACTTCTCAGAAGTGCTAGACAACGATCACGCCTCGCGATGTTCAAACTCAGGACCTACCAGTCTCGCGCCAGAGAACTTACCCGACAGACCACTGGGCTAGCATCCGATGGTGTTAATATATAACTTCAACCAATCCACGAAGTTAAGCGACCGTTTAGTGGTCTATGGGTTAAGTGCTCTGACGCGAGATTGGTTGGACCTGGGTTCAAATCTCGTGAGGCGAGATCGTGGATGCGCACTTCTGTGGAGTCCCATAATAGAACGAAACGACCTTAAAGCAGTACTCTTAGGTTTTCCATGGTGGTCTAGCTTCAATTGACTCATGACTTCAACAATGATAATATTTAAATCTTCACAAAACCTTTTCTGATAATAAAAGAACATGTTATTGTCTCGATAAGATAATGAATGGTCTATTAATTACTGTTCCCCCTATTCACAGCCACATTTGGCTAAATCTTGTACACATTTTATTTTCTATTGTATGGTGTGATGTGGTCTGTTTGTTATTTATTTGCTTATCAATGTTGACTGTTTTTTACATTAGAGTATGTTTGTGCATTTCTCATCTTACACATCACATGTCTATAACTTATTTTTATGTGACTATAAATATCGATGAATGCTTGAATAAATTAAGTTGTCTCACATGTCCTCTTCACTGAACATCATTTTGTTTCGCTTCACTTCCTTCACTTCGTTTCTCTGATTGTGTATACGGATATGTATATGTATTTGGCTTGTTTTATTCCGTTATTCTTTAACGCGAATTAAAATATACGAGGGTTGGCAACATATGTATTTCGATTATTTGAGCTTCTGATCTAATTGAAGTCAAATTAAAGAGTCATTAAATATTCATGTGTTCACTAGTAACTTATTTCAAGAGAATATTTCCGGTGTTCTAGTCAGAAGTTGTAACTAGTGAAGTTCAACAATATCGAATGGGAGTCACTTACTCGCCGAAGACAATAGATGATTTCACGATGTGACAAGTTGATTGAACTTAGATATGTCAACTATTGAATGCAATTTTAGTCGGTTATATGTTAAAACCTCACTTCAAGACCCGTTGCTTCTGGGTTTGAAAGAAAGTGGAAACGTAGATGTGCACCACTGAATAATCTCATTCTAGTTCATTTCTTTTAGGTTTTCAACAGCTGTCTGCTTTAGATTGGTATCCAGTTTCGATAACGTTCCTGAATCGCTGTAGTGAATGAGAACACGGGTGGGGACAATCAAATGTATTTTACCATAACATTACTGAATATCTCATTAAAATATGAGAACTATATACTGAACAGTTAATTTGCAAAATAACAATCAATTATCTCAATTTTGACTGTTTCTTCTGCAAATATCTGTGCATAGTCTCCGATTATAATTGTTCATGCATTTTCGTACCAATTATGTGCCGTTCTCGTTCTCTCCTTATCGATCTTCTACTGAAATACATTCAATGCCCGACCATCACCATATACTACTTGTGTGGATATAAGTAACCCACACTATATCCCCACAAACTCCTACACTAATAGCCAAATATTAAGTGTATAAAATCATGCAATATTCTCAATCCTAAATTTATAAATACTAAAGACTAATTTTTTACCGATATAAGTGGTGGGAGGTTTGTAGAAATTGTAAAATGATAAACTAATCTCATCTATACTATCGCTGACAACTACGAAGCACTAGACACCTGTTTCATTCTTTTATGAAGCTCTTCAGTAATTTTTCACAAAGTATTATCAGATAATATATATATATATATATATATCAGTATAGGGTTGTAGAGAGTGATATCATAAATAAGTTAGTGTTGCAACACCATTGAAAATCTAAACTCAACAATCTCCACAACCCTATACTCATAATTATCACGTGCTCATTAATAACTGGCTTCAGCATGGATTTCCTGGAGTTCTGGTGAGAAGTGTTAACTGTTATGGCTTGATTAAGGTCGTCGCCAATTCATTATGACTTTACAAGATAAATCAAGGACATATCCTAATTCGTTATTGGTTTTTATATCCGGCTTTTATTCACGTGAATTATCTACCAATGGAAATACGACTTCTTCGAACTTAACACTGTGACAATTAATGACGTTCGATCAGTATGAGTAATCTAGCGTCCTTATTAGTCCTTTATCCGCCTAGCCTTTCCACTTGAGTCCATAACATCAATGTCAGCTTCTGTTATGCGAATCTATGCGAATCGTTTATTTCAAGCATACTCTGTTTATATACTAGACAGACAGACAACATCACACCATAAAATAAAAAATAATATTTGTACATAATCAATCCAAATGTGGCTGTGAACGTGGGAGACAGTAATCAATAAACTGAGTATAATTTTGGAACAGCAAATCATATAATAATAATGCGTTGGTCAAAATAAAGCTTATAATAAGATGAATATATAGATATATATATAATTACTCAATAGTTAAACATTAAGAATATATATAGAATAGTCGTTCATTAATAGGTCCTGGGAGTTACCGTGACTTATGTCTTCGATAGAATGTAACAGTAACCAGTAGAGTTCGACCGTGTCTATCATGAGTCAGTTACTCACTGAAGACAATGATAGATAGTCATGTATTGGTTAAAGTTAAACATTAACACCACTGAATACCAGCTCAGTGGTCTAGAGATACGTGAAACTGAAGGTTCTGAGTTCGATTAGTCTGTGCACACTATTGATTAATCCTATTCTAGAACGAAATGATCTTCTAATGACTTCATGTTTTGAATAATGGTCTAACATTAACCCATTTATGATAACCATATATCTATGTTGTTGAAAGCGTGAGTCAATTGAAGCTAGACCACCATGGAAAACCTGGAAACACTGGACGGCCGTTTCGTCCTATTATGGGACTCCTTAGCAGTGCGCATCCACGAATCCACTCTCGCGAGCGAGATTCGAACCCAGGACCTACCAGTCTCGAGCCGAAGCCCTTAACCGATAGACCACTGAGCTGGCATCTATCGGTTAAGGGCTTCGGCTCGAGACTGGTAGGTCCTGGGTTCGAATCTCGCTCGCGAGAGCAGGTTCATGGATGCGCACTGCTGAGGAGTCCCATAATAGGACGAAACGGCCGTCCAGTGTTTCCAGGTTTTCCATGGTGGTCTAGCTTCAATTGACTCACGCTTTCAACAATGATAAATACTAAATCTCCACAAAACCCCTTCTATAATTAATATATCTATGTCTATGTATACATTTCTTATCATGTATTTCTTTTGTTGTTTTCTTTATGAATTCTTCTCACTATTTAGTGTGCTACAAGTGCATGTCATCATCGTGATATGGATAATACTGAATGGGTTGAAAAATTTCAACAACGTATTAAACATCAACATTATTTTCAATGTTATATTCATACAATACATGAAGATGAAGCATTATTATATAAATTTTATACATTTACATCTGTATTTCATTCAATTTTTTGGCCAATTATATTATTTTTATTATCATTTATATGTTTATATATTATTTATATATTTGATAAATGTCATGTATGGACTGGTGATCAAGATGTGATTGTTTAAATATACACTTTAATGATTGGTTGAAATATTCTTTTCTTTTTTTTATCTTTTTTTTCCTTTTTTCTTTTTTTCCTTTTCCGCTTTTTCTTTTTTATTCCTGCTTTTGCTTTCTCTTTTTTATTTTTGCTTTTTTTATTTCTCGCTTTTTCACTTTTTCTTTTTTCGCGTTTTCTTTTTTGCACTTTTCCCTTTTCATTTTTGCCTTTTTTTACTTTTTCTCTTTTTTTCCTTTTTCTTTTCCTTTTTCTTTTCTTTTTTCTTTTTTCGTTGTTGTCGATAAAATGCATACAAAAAAAAGAAACATAATATGACATGAGATAGGACTATCATTTCAAGGCACATATTATTTGATAAATATCATTTAAGGACTGGTGATCAAGATGTGATTGTGTAAATATAATTCAATGATTGGTTAAAATTTTCTTTTCTTTTTTCTTTCTTTTTCTTTTCTTTCTTTTTCCCTTTTTTGTTGTTGTTGATAAAATACACAAAAAAAACAAGAAATGACATGAGATGGGACTATCATTTCAAGATTTACATATTTTTTTTTCTTTGTTGTTGTTGTTGTCACTGGTAGTTTCCTTTTCTTTTTTTTGTTTGTAAATAAACATTATTATTATTATGGTGGTTTGTTTACTTTTAATAAGACAATTCTTCCAAGAAATAAACAACACAATGTATTCTTAATTGATCTATTCAATTGTCAATGTTTTTCGGAAATGTTATTACAATAAAAGCAATATAGGGGTATCCATATCAAGGTTGAAGTTGATAGTTTCTGTTATATACTGAAGAAAGATTTTGAATAGTAACTTTTGAGAACTATTTATGGACCAATATGATACACATATTTCCTACTGTATAATTGTTAAGTAAATAAACTATTCATATTCGTGTCCCCCTCATTGTAACCTTTATTTTGACCCACAGACTATTACTGTACGATTTACCATTCTTGAGTTATACCCAGTCTATTAATTAATGCTCCCCCCATTCACAGCCACATTTGGCTAAATCTTGTACAAATGTTATTTTCTATTTTATGGTAAGTTGTGGTCTGTTTGATTGCTATATAAACCCAGTATGTGTTTGTGAATAATAATTCATATTGCAGAGGCTGTTATCGGTGTTCTAGATTCAACTGGCTGGGCTAGGCAAATAGCAGGACCGACAAATGCTGTAGACTGCTCATACGGCTTTTGTGTATCATTGATCCGATCGATAAGTTCACTGTATTCTAATAGGCAACCACACTCGATATAACAATTTCAAATAAATTGAGCATTGGGTAGACAGTTTGTAATAACTATACTATTTGTTACATCCTAATGAGTAGAAAAAATGTCTTTCTAATGTTTCGCAACTGAATGTAAGTCACTTATTCAGAGTAAAGAAATAACCGATATTAACTTGTGTTAATTCAATGTCGGTTATTTATTTAATCTGAAGAAGTAGCTTACATCAAGTAATGAAATGTCAAAAATACAATATTTTGCGAAAACGCTTAACCTCCAAACTACTGAGCCGGCATCCATGATCATGCGCAACTAATCATCCATTATCTGGAGTGGATCGACCAATGAACTCAATTAGTAAAATTACTGCAATCTTCATAAACTTTCATTCCAATAATGTAGATACAAGTGTGACTTAAATATTTAAGTTCTGCTGACAAAGTTTTATGTAACTAAATGTATAGATTTAGATTACAGACTATTCTGCATGGCGAGTTTAGTGTTGAAACGTCTTCAGAATCTTCTCTCGTCAGTTTGAAACTACTGTTGTCCCATTGTACTGGTTTTTTTACATTCTGTTGTTGGATACTTAAAACGATTTGCAATGTTTTTGATTCATTTAGATTATAAGTCTTTTTTAGAGTGACAGTAAATCTTCATGTGGTCGTATGAGTTATACCACTGAGTTAGTTAGAGCCTCAATGAAATCTCTCTCCAGCATTGTTTGCTTCATAAGAGTCCACCACAACCAAATTATGAATGTTTAATAGCGCAAAAGTCTTCTTGACTTCTTCTTTATTCTGCACATGGATTCATAACCTCCACGGACTGTCAAATGTGACTATAACGTTTGCTACAGGTACAAAACCTACCAAATGATGGATATGCAAAGCAAACTTTTCATATCATATAACGTTATTGAAGGTGTGATGAATGCTGTAGTCTCTGTGTTGACTGGCTTAGTTAGAATATCTAACACTGATGTGTGGCATTTGGATAAATTTGCATAAATGTTGATAAAGCTGAATGTTTAAAACCATTCATAACGTTTGATAGATTCAAAGTCAGCCACAGTTTGTTTGATTCATACATAAGAATCTATACTCTTCTCATTCACTCAAGTATATACCAAGGGAATAATCTTAATATAAGAATACGAGAAAATGCTCTAAAAATCCCAAGTTCATGAGTCGTAGAAAGAATCGAAATTCTTTTTTCATCCTGCCCACTACTGTTCAAAATATCCTCCCCCTCCACAGTCGTATTGTATTGCATTATTATTATTATGGCTTTATTCAATATTATATTTTTGGTACAATATAGAATTCGCCGTACAAGGTATTTCAATAATTTTTCTTTTTTATTTCTTGATCAACCCTGACGATAAATGTTACAATCTTGTAGTGGTACAAACTGATTTTCTTGTAAATAATTTAACCAGGATTCTTGAACTGTGATTACACCACAATGACGATACATGTTTAGGATTAGTAGGAATTGAAGATAGACCACCCTACCAATTAGTGATGACTGGTTAGAAGTTAGCAGTTTAGGAATCGACATCTGAATAGTGTTCATTCTTTTCAATACACATTGATAGCCACCGCGATATCTCTGACCGTACGTTTTTGTAACTTGTATAGCGAAAGTTCGTATACTTTTCATAAACGCTCCTGAATAGGTTATACGATTAATAGACATAATGATGTGTTAAAACAAACAAAAACAGGTAAGTTGTTGAAATATCTAAATGACAGAAACAGGTAGCTCAGATATCTAAATAGGCCGTTAACTGGTAGCTAATTGAATTCGAGTTTGTTAAAAATACTCACTTGTCATGTGATAGATGCTTAACTGTTTGCTTTGGCTGAATAACGTATTAAAATAGAGCTAATACTGCATATGACAAATGGAACAAACCGTATCTCCAGTCTGATGCATTATTTCTGTTAATGAAGTTGCTCGATCTTACATTTTATTGATTACTTTTTTCCGCATTCACTTTCGCTCTTTTTTGATTGTACATTTATTAGAGTAAATCATGATATTTAATATTCGCTTTTTATAGTTGATTGGCAAATGAGAAGTTTCCATGAGTTTTGATCTGAGATTTGGATCTCAACATTCATAACCCTAGTGTAAGTCAAGTTTTGTATTCTTGATTCTTACAGTGAGCAGGTTACCTCCAGACCTTCTAGTCCGTATTTAATAGGTTATACTTTTAATTTTTGTTGATTCGAGATGGTAAGCTATAAACTTTTAATCACGTCAGTGGTAAGTGTTTTACCAAAGACACTGTCGAATTCTAATGGCCATAGCTCGTCACTGCAATTTCCAGAATCTTTCTCAGAGCTAGTCACCAGTGAGCTCATGGTTTGTGAAGAATGATTCAATTTGAAGTTAGTTCTTTTGATGGAACTAAAATTAGCTAGGTAACTGTTGGGAACTAATTTTACTCTATCTTGGAATTTGCAAACCTTAAACGTTTTCCTCATACGACATGGCTGAACTGTAACTTGGTTTGTCATCTATTTATATTAATTATGAGAAGGGGTTTTGTAGAGATCTAGTATTTTTCATAGTTGAAAGCGTGAGTCAATTGAAGCTAGACCACCATGGAAAACCTGGAAACACTGGACGGCCGAAACTCGCGAGGGCGGGTTCGTGGATGCGCACTGCTGAGGAGTCCCATAATAGAACAAAACGGCCGTCCAGTGTTTCCAGGTTTTCCATGGTGGTCTAGCTTCAATTGACTCACGCTTTCATCTATTTATGTAATGTCTGATTATGAGTAGTCTAACAATGATTGGTAAAATATTTTTAAAATTAAGATTATAAAATCAAATCATCTGTTGTTTATGAATATAAATGAATTTCATACCAACATCCTAAACTTATCTTTAATTTCACTAATTCGTCCATAAAGTATAGCGTCACTATTACTTACTTACCCACTTAAGCGTGTTACCCCTCGTAAAGGTCGTGCACTAGTATTCTCCATACAACTCTGTCCTTGGGAAATCCTTCCCAATTGTTTCCACTTGCTATTCATCCTTTTCATGTTTTCTTCAAATTTTCAACATAATGTATCATTTGGTCTTCCATTTTTCCTTTTCTCTTCAGGATTTCAAGTTGGCACTTACCTCATGATGTATTTTGATGATTTCCGAAATGTATGCTTTATTCATCTCCAACATCTTTTCTTAATTTCCTCTTCAGCTAGTAGTGTAGTGTGGTCTACTTATATCCACACAAGTAGTATATGGTGATGGTCAGATATAAAATGTATTTTGGCAGGAGATCGATAAGGAGAGAACAGGAATGAAGCCCAATCGGTATGAAACTGTATGAACAATGAAATCAGAGAGTACGGACTGATATTTGCACTAGGAACAGTTAAGATTGAGACAGTTGATTGTTATTTTGCAAATTAACTGTTTGCTGTATGGTTATCAGAATTCAGTGAGCTCGTCTGTAATCTGTGTTTAAATACATTTGATTGTCCCCACTCGTGTTCTTGTACACTACAGTAGTTGGTTTGAGCCTCACCATTAGTGATAAAAAGAAAAACAATATGATAGGTATGTAAGTATCAGTGCTAAGGTTAGACTTGATAGTTTCAAATAAATCAGAAGGGGTTTTGTGGAGAATTTAGTATTTTCATAGTTGAAATCATGAGTCAATTGAAGCTAGAACACCATGGAAAACCTGAAAGCATTGAACGGCCGTTTCACCTCATTATGGGACAACTCAGCAGTGCGCATCCACGATCCCGCACTCGCAAGATTCGAACCCAGGACCTACCAGTCTCGCGTCGGAGCACTTAACCGATAGACCAATGAGCTGGCATCGAACGGTGTGAATGTCTAACTTCAACCAATCCACTATGTTTGAGCAACCGTTCACCAATTGTCTTCAGTGAGTTGATATCTCTACAACATACTTGGTAGAACTTCACTGGTCACTGCTTCTCACTAGAACTCAAGAAAATACCATTGAATGCCGGCTCAGTGGTTTAGAGGTTTAGTGCTCCAGCATGAGACTGATAGGTCATGGGTTCGAATTTTACGAGAGCAGGATCGTGGATGCGTACTGCTGAGGAGTTCCATAATAGAACGAAACGGCTGTCCATTGCTTCCAGGTTTTCTATGGTAGCCTAGCTTCAATTGACTCATGATTGTAACCATGAAAAGTTTCAAATAAGTTGAGCATTGGGCATAAATTTGATAATAAATATAGTTTC